ATCCCGAGATATGTTTAGCAGTCTATACCATGTGTCAATGACTAGCAGGCACCAAGGCCGGTGAGGATGAAATCCAGACAGAAGACTGAGGTTAGGGCTGAGAAACAGGGATCCATAGATGAGCCTGGTCCAGGAGATCAAGCAATGGGTGCACCAACACCTCTTGACCTGCCCTAGAACCAGCTCCTTCCTGGCCTGTTCCATCATGGTAGTAATGGGTCGTCCCACCTCCCAGTGTGCAAGCCAACCTCCTCAGTGTCACCACCCACTTGCAACCAGAGGCAACCCCCATTAGCCGAAGCTTTGAAATATACTCAGGATTTAATTTACCAATTACCTAACCGGTATTTTACCTAACTACCACCTCGGTGGCCACACCCAGCCTCGATGGCACTTGCTAACTGGCATTTACCACTGTCATGCAAGTTATAAACATCAACTCCCCCAGCAGGCAGAGACTCTCCCGAGCTGCCTGCTCCTTTCTTGGAGATCTAATGGTTCATTTTTGGGTGGCTATGGGTTCATATTAGTCACAGCAAAGCATAAATATCCTAGTTACCTGCCCGAGCTTTTACATGGCATCATCCTAAAACTATTATAATAATGTCACACTCAGGATTCTGGTATTAATACAGTAGAGACAGACCAGACGGTGGTGGCACACACCTTTAATCCCGGAACTTGAGAGGCAGAGGCCGGCAGATATCTATGAGTTTGAGGCCAGACTGGTGTACAGAGTGAGTTAGTTTCAGGGCAGCCAGGACTGCACAGAGAAACCCTGTCTCAAAAACAAACAAACAAACAAACAAAATACACTAGAGACAGGTGGATATGACAAAAATTCACTGTATACATGTATAAAATTCTCAAAAATTAAATAAAAATAAAAATTACATTTAAAAATGTACTAAACAAATAACATATTTGAAAAAGAAAGAAAGAAAGAAAGAAAGAAAGAAAGAAAGAAAGAAAGAAAGAAAGAAAGAAAGAAAGAAAATCCTGGAGCGATGTTTCAGTTGTTGAGAGAACTGATTGCTCTTCCAGAAGGTTCAATTCCCAGTATCTACATGGCAACTCACAATCATCTGTAATTCCAGGTTCAGGGGGTCTGACAACTTCTCCTGGCATCCTTGAGAACTGCATGCATGTGGTTCTCATACAAATATATAGGCAAAACACCCATACACATTTTTAAAATCTTTAAAAAGAAGAAAGGAAAGAAGGAAAGAAGGAAAGAAGGAAAGAAAGAAAGAAAGAAAGAAAGAAAGAAAGAAAGAAAGAAAGAAAGGAAAGAAGGAAGGAAGGAAGGAAGGAAGGAAGGAAGGAAGGAAGGAAGGAAGGAAGGAAGGAAGAAACCTACCCTGACAGTGGACAGCAACAACTCATGGGTTTGAGTCCAGGGTCTGTTCCTGCTGCCATGGCTGCCCAGCCACAATGGACAGTACTTTCAAACTGTGAGCCAAGATAAAGGCTTCCTTCCAGAAGTTGCTCTGATCAGGTATTTTGTCTCAGCGATGAGAAAGGCTTATCTTGTGTCCCATCCTGAATGCAATGTTGTTCATTCTCTCCAGTGTGAATACAGCCATTGTTATACTATGCAGACCACAGCATTTAAGCTGGTCTAATGTTCCCCTTTTACCATATACTCACTCTATCAGTCTGTTTCTCTATAATAGACCATGACTAATACCATAGGGAAGGAAGGGACACCCTCCCCAAACTCTGTGACCACAAACAGAAGAGAAAGGGAAACATCCACAGGCAAACACTACCCCTCAATGGACCAGCGACAGTCATCACATGATCATGACAATAGACACAGGAAAAGCCTTTGACAAAGTTCAACCTCTCTTAAAATCTAGGAGAAACCAGGCCTACAAGGAACAAACATACTGTAATGTACTAATGGCTTTATATAACAACCTGTGGCTAGCAGTAGACTAAATGGGGAAAAACTGAAAGTATTTTCCTTAAAATCAGGAAGATACAATGGTGTTTGCTCTCTTCACCTTTTAAAAGATTTATTTTCATTATACGAACATGTAAACATATCTGTATGTGTGTATGTGCATACTAACACAGAGTGCAGAAAAGGGTGTGTGGCTGCCTGGGGAGCTGGAGTTATAGGTGAGCCACCCTACATGTATGCTAGTAACCAGACTTGGTTTCTCTGGAAAAACAGCAAGTTCCACTAACCAGGAACCATCTCTCCAGCCCCATTCTCTTTGCTTTTATTCCTGTATAGGGCTTGAGGCTTCAGCCAGGGTAATAAAGCAAGAAAAAGAAAAGGGTTATGTGTTGGAGAGGAAGAAATCAATTTATTTTGCAGATAATGTGATGTTTTATTTAAAAGGCCCCAAAGAACTAGGCATGTTGGCACATGCCTTTAATTCCAGCCTTTGGGAGGCAGAGACAGAGGCAGGTGGATCTTTGTGAATTGAGGCTAGAAAGAGCCACAGTGAGACTTTGTCTCAAGTTATATGTGTGTATGTATATGTGTGTGTATATATATATATGTGTGTATATATACCACAATAAAGTAAAATAGGACATAAAAATTGGGGGGGGGGAGGAGATGGAATGAACCTAAGACTAGTTAAGGGAAGAAATTGGGTAAGTATCTAAATATATTGCATGACATTCTCAAAGAACTGATAAAATAAATTTCTAAAAGATGAAGCATGGGGTCTGTCGAAATGGCTCAGCTGCTCTCGCAGAAGACCCAGGTTTGGTTCCCAGCCCCGACTTGGTGCCTTTCAACCCCTGCACTTGGCTTACAACTAACTCCAGTTCCAGAGGATCTGATGCCTTTTTCTGCTTCCTGGGGGTGCCAGGCACACATGGCATAGGCATGCAGGCAAAACATTCATGCACATAAAATAAAATAAAATAAAATAAAATAAAATAAACCTTAAAATCAATAAAAATTCATAGAAAATGAAGTAAAACTGCCAATAAATGCACTAAGAAAATCAACACTCTTCCCATCAGAGAAACAAAAAATCCAAAGGATCCTGGATTCTGCCTCATCCCAGTCAAAATGGTTACTGTTAAAAGCAAATAACGAACAGGATGCAAAGAACCTGTCAAACACTGCAGCCACTCTGGAAATCAGCATGGAACTTCCTGAAAGACTGATTATCATGAGACCCAGCATATGACTTCTGGGAAGACGGCCAAAGCAACCCACGCCAACACAGCAGAGACTCCTTGACAACCTCACTCCACACACAACAGCCAGGCTGAGGGATCAGCCAAGATGCCCATCCATAGGCAAAGCAAATGTGGTTTACATACACAATGGCACTTTCAGCCATTAAGGGATAACACCAGGTCATGTTCAGGGGAAGGGCTGCCCCAGGGGAACACTATAGCAAGTTAGGCAATCCCCACACAGGTGCATCTGTGTAACGACATTGACAGTAGAAGGAGGATGCTATTTGGAAGGGAGAAAGGGAAAGGAAAGGGATGAATATGATCCACACATGACATAGCTAAAAGGATGCACAGAATGTCATCCGGAAACCCCTCACTTCGAACGACAAATGTATCCTGATTTAAAAGAAAAAAAAAAAGATGTTTGCTTTGTTTTGCTGTGCTTTGCTTTGTATTGTGAGACAGGTTTCTACCATGTCACTGTGCTTGCTTGGAACTTGCCAGGTAGACCAGGCTGGCCTCAAACTCACAGATCCGTCTGCCTCTACCTGCCACCCCAGCACTGAGATTTAAGCTGTGCACCACCACACATTAAAAAAGTAATGTTTAAGGAAATAATCAAGAAAAGCATTGAGACTCCACGACAAGTCCGTGTAAACCACAAAGTAAATAAAAAAAAAAAAATCTAAGCTGGAAAATCACATGGCAGAGAGGAGGCAGCAAGTACGCAGAGGAGAAGCTGTAGTTGCCTCCTGTGAGCTGGGTCTACTAGTTGGCTTTCTAATGCTGTAACAAGCACAATGGCCAAAAGCAGCTTGTGGAGGGAGAGAGCTTATTTCATCTGAGAGCTTACAGTCCAACGTCAGGGGAAGTCGTATCAGGAACATGGAGGAAGGAACTGAAACAGAGACTCTGGAAGAAAGCTACCTCCTGGCCTGTTCTCCGTGGCTTGCTCAGCCTGCTTTCTTACAGCAAGGACTGCCTGCCCAGGAGCGGCAGCCCCCTCAGCGGGCTGAGCCCTACCACATCAGTCAAGGAAATGGCCCCCACAGACTTACTTACATGCCAATCTGATGGAGGCATTCTCTCAAGGGAGGTTCCCTCTTCCATGATGAATCTAGTTGTGTCAAGCTGATGTTAAAACTACGGAGCATTTTATAAGGTGGTGGGGCATATTGGAAGGTGGAGGACTTCCCAAAGGCTTCCTGATTGGCTGCACCTCAAATATTCCCCTCTGCCAGGTGCCAGTTCATATGTAAAAATGACTTTGCCTATGTGCTGGACTTAGGCTGGAAGCAGGTTTTGTCATTTGTAGGACGAAGTCTTAGAAGAAGACTCCTCAGGAACAGGTGTCCCACCATAGTCTTGATATCACACTTGGCAGTGAAGCGTGGATATTGAGCCTTTCTGATTCCCAGGGAACCAAGAGGATGTTCGCTTTCTATTTCTCCTCTACCTTTACCTCTAGGCCTTCACCTCTGCCCAACAGAGAGTATAAAACACCCACATGGAACTTCAAGAGATAGAAATCACTGCCTGTAAAGTAAAAATATGATAGATGGATTTAATAGCATGTTGGACATTGTAGAAAATAGGAAGACATTGGAGACAGCAATGGAAACCACCCAGACAGAAAACAGAAAATCTTAAGTATGACAAGATTGACAACTCCTTTCCCTCCCTGTGTTCTTCCTTCTTCCTCCTCCTTTTCTTTACTCCTTTCTTCCTTCATTCCTATTTTCCTTCTTTCCCTCCTTCCTTAAACTAACAATAGTTTAGTGGACTACAGAGATTAAAAATAAGTCTTGTCTGCATGTAAACAACAACAACAACAAAAAGTGATCATGTGCAGGGATATAAAGGCCCAGGCTCGGGAGGCTCCACACTGCACATCTTCCCTCTCCACCTGCTCCTCTGACCTTCTCCATCCTCAACCCAACGCCAGAACCATGAGCTGCTGTGGCTGTTCCGGAGGCTGTGGCTCCAGCTGTGGGGGCTGTGGCTCCTGTGGCTCCTGCTGCTGCAAGCCTGTGTGCTGCTGCAAGCCTGTGTGCTGCTGTGTGCCCACCTGCTCCTGCTCCAGCTGTGGGGGCTGCAAGGGAGGCTGTGGCTCCTGTGGGGCCTGCAAGGGAGGCTGTGGCTCCTGTGGGGGCTGCAAGGGAGGCTGTGGCTCCTGTGGGGGCTGCAAGGGAGGCTGTGGCTCCTGTGGGGGCTGCAAGGGAGGCTGTGGCTCCTGTGGGGGCTGCAAGTCCAGTTGCTGCCAGTCCAGCTGCTGTAAACCCTGCTGCTGCCAGTCCAGCTGCTGCAAGCCCTGCTGCTGTCAGTCCAGCTGCTGTAAACCTTGCTGCTGCCAGTCCAGCTGCTGCAAGCCCTGCTGCTGTGAGTCCAGCTGCTGCAAGCCCTGCTGCTGTCAGTCCAGCTGCTGTAAGCCCTGCTGCTGTCAGTCCAGCTGCTGTAAGCCCTGCTGCTGTCAGTCCAGCTGCTGTAAGCCCTGCTGCTGTGAGTCCAGCTGCTGTAAGCCCTGCTGCTGTCAGTCCAGCTGTTGCAAGCCCTGCTGCTGCCAGTCCAGCTGCTGTAAGCCCTGCTGTTCTTCAGGCTGTGGGTCATCTTGCTGTCAGTCCAGCTGCTGCAAGCCCTGCTGTTCTTCAGGCTGTGGGTCATCTTGCTGTCAGTCCAGCTGCTGCAAGCCCTGCTGCTGTCAGTCCAGCTGTTGTGCCCCTGTATGTTGCCAGTGCAAGATCTGAGGTTCTGTCTACCACCTCAACTAGGTCCTGAAAATCTGGTCCTCAAGGATCAACCAAAACTGCATCCAAACATCCTGAAAAAAAAACTCTATGTTCATTCTCTGAATGGTGGCAGGCTGGGGTGATAATATCAGCACCGAGCCTGCAACCTTGAGCTCATGGGGCACACCATGCCCTGAGTCCCACCTAAACTCCTAAATACCTCTTCTCTCCTGATTTCACCACCTACCTTCCCAGGATTCCAAGTCTCCAGTTTACTTGCTGGGAACATTCTGAAACTGGATATCCTTGGAACAGAGGCCCTCACTGGCCCCTCTCACCCCAGTCCTCAACCTCATGCCCCTCTCAGATGCCTGAGCCCTGCTTCCTTTGGAGTTAAATCTGCACGGCACGATGGCACAGGAAACCCCTAAGTAAAATCATGAGGGAAGAGATTCTCCCATTTCTCCCCTGCTTCTATGGCTGTGACTCAGCCAGATACCCTCCCTTTGCTAAATGCTGTACCTGAATCATTAAATAAATTCATTTCACACCTGTTAAGAGCTTGTACCATCATCTTGTGTTTTCAATCTGTGCAATGAGTAAGATGTGCGGTTTAGCTGTTACCTAAATGCCTTGCTCCCGATGGCCTTCCTTTGCTCCATCACAGAGTTCCATAGCGCTGGTGATTTAAATGAAGAAATCAACACAAATTTCTCACTGGAGCTGTGTGGCTCAGTGTAGGCAATTGTATAGCATAAGAGAGGCTCTGGGCTCCATCCCAGTGTCAAGAAAACAAACAACAAAACAAAGCCCAAAAAAAAAAAAAACAAAAACAAAAACAAAGAAAAACGGGAAAAAAAAATCTTAGGATTGTGAAGGACAGATGTCTGAAACTGAGGTGTCATGGGCCAGTGGCTTCGGACTCTGTCCTTCTGTGCCCTCTTATTGGCTTGCCAACTCTGTCTTCTCCACATACGCTCTCTCATCATCTTCTGTGTGTCTGTGCCATCGTCCTGTTTCTCATAGTTCAGTGTGTATCGAGGCCTCCATAGTCTGCTATGACCCCATCATAACTTACTACAGTTGTAAAGACCCTTTTCCCCAGTACAGTAATCTCTGAGGTTCTTAGGGAGTGTGCTGGGCCCCATATCTGACCCTTACCTTTGATATTTATTGCTAATCTTGAGCAGCAAAAACAAGACAAAACACAAACCTGTCATATTGCAGGCCCATATGGCACTCATGATACATCATAGGCATGGATGGTCTTGTCTGGTCTTTGTAGCAGAAGGTAACATCAAGTGCTGGCAGGTTGAGCCTTTTTCAAGGTGTGTCCCTGGCCTGCAGGAACTACCTTTGCACAGGTCCTTATGATACTGGGTAAACAAGGAGATAAGCATGAATAGCTAAGAAAAATTGCTGCTGAGTCTTGGTATCTTTTCTCTTAATGGTTAGGATGGCTGGGGTGGTTTGAACAGTTTGACCCCCATAGACTCATGTGTTTAAATGCTCGGCCATAGGGAGTGGCACTGTTAAGAAGTGTGGCTTTGTTGGAGGAAGTGTGTCACTGTGGTGTGGGGGGGTGGGGGTTTGCTTTAAGTACTCCTATGCTCAAGCCCAGTGTGGCACACAGTCTCTTTCTACTACCTGTGGATCAGGATGTAGAACTCTCTGCTCCTCCAGCACCACATCTGCCTGCATGCTGCCAGGCTTCCTCCCATGATGGTAATGGTCTAAACCTCTGAAACGGGTAAGCCAGCCCCAGTTAAATGTTTTCTTTCATAAGGGTTACCATAGTCATGGTATCTGTTCACAGCAACAAAACCCTAACTAAGGCAAGGGCCTTTTGTGGTGAAACTACATTAAAATTAAAGATAGGTTATTCACATTATATCAGAAGTGAAGGCATCTGGGCATCCAGACTTGTGCACCAAGAAAGGGGTCTGCATCCTCAAAAGATCTGATGACTTTATAACATCTCTTGCATTGCAGTCCACACACACACGCACACACGCACGCGCACGCCTTTTGTGGGATCATGGGAAGAAAAAAAACCTAATAGAAAGATCTTGTTCACCATGATTTGGAAGGGGAAACTTCCATGACTATGCCATCCACTTCATGGATATTTATAAATCCTTCTTTGAAATTCACAGTCCTGAATCCACCACCAGACTGATGACTGCCTTGGAGTAGGCCACTTTAACCTTTATTTGGAATGTGTGCTTCTTCTGCTCAAACTGCCTATGTCCCTTGGCTGAATTCTTCTTTTTTCTTTCTTTTTTTCTTTTTGAATTCTTCTTTTTTAATTGAAAAGAAAATTATTTTTCTTTTTGGTTTATGAAACAGCATTTTTCCGTGTAGCCTTTGCTGCCCCGGAACTTGTTCTGTAAATCATGCTGGCTTTGAACTCACAGAGATCACCTTCTTCTGCCTCCTGAGTACAGGGATTGAAGACATGCTCCACTACTACCCGGCAGCTTCATTGAAATTTTTATAAACCGTATTTTGATAACGTTTTTCCTCCCCATGTTCTCTTCAGATCCTCCCCACCTCCTTACTCACCCAGCTTATGTTTTCTCTCTGTCTTTCAAAAACAAAACAGAACACACACACACACACACACACACACACACACACACACACACACAACCCCCCTTCAAAAAAAAACCTGCCAAAACACAAAAACAAAAATAAAAACTAACAAGCAAAAGACCCGTAAGGTGAAAGCAATGCCAAAAACAAAGCAAAATAAAACAAAAAGTCCAGAAAAAAATACCACTGAGTTCATTTTTTGTTAGCCAACTACTCCTGAGGCTTACGGCTACATGGGGTCTGCCCTGAAGTGTGGCTAATATACCAGTGAGACCATCAGGGAAACACTCATTTCCCATTTTCAGTAGATATCAGTTTCTGGTAGCTTCTTGGTTAGGGGTGGGACCCTGTACCTACTTCTCCCTCTCAGTGCTAAGACCCAATCAGCTTGGGTCTCATTCATGCTTTGGCTAAATCCTTTACTTCAAGAAGACAAGAACAGAGAGAGACACACTTATTAACATGTGGTGTCATGGCTGGGATCAATTTCCATTGGAGGCATAACAAACTCTCTGACCTTTGTGAGCCCAAGGGAGAAAAATGGGTAAAGGGGCCTTTGAAACACCCAAGTGCCACTAAAGAGTCTCTTGTCCCATCCAGCAGGAGTTCAATGGGTTCCTAAGGAGGGGTGAAAAGAATGGTGTGGGACAGAGATGCAAAGAAGGAGGCCAAGTCAGTTTGTCTGATCAAAGCCTCATTTATTTAAAATTTTTACCCAACTTATATAGGGAGAAGGCAGGAAAGGGGGGAGGCTAATTTACTGCTGCAGAAGATAGCAAGAGTGCTTTCATGGCTTGAATTTGCACCTGCAAGATACCGTAAGGATGTTTTCTTAAGATATCTCAAGGTTGCTCTAAGACTAACAAATGGATGTCCTCACAAATCTATCACCCATGACCTAGGGTCCTAGATAACTCTTCCACTAATAGGCTTTATAGGTCTCCACTAACTGACATTTGCTCACTATTTGGCTTTGGCTTCAGTACATAGCTTTGGCTCCCGGAATTCTCTAAGCTTTGCCTAAATGTTACCTAAAAGTTAAAGCTGAAAGGCTAGTGACACTGCCTCTTGGATGTTCTACAGCCACGCTTAAAGACCTACATCAATTGGGAGGCCTGTATAACCCCATTTCTGAAAAAGAAACCCCATTTTAAGGGAAAATGCCCAGGGTATGACCTCCAGTTTCAAAAAAAAAGGGGGGGGGGAGAAAATCCCCAAAACTGTGTTTCAACAATTCACCTCTGATAATATTTAACTGTCACCCTTAACAACAGCTAAATAATTGCCCAGGTCTTATTTACAATAGGTTGAGTAAACAAACAAACAAACAAAACAATTATGGTTCTGCCCACCGGACACAATCAATCAGGTTCTATTGCCTGATATTTGTTAAATGCCAATCAATCATAGAACTGCCAAGCTGGAATTCCCCAAATCTCCCTGTAACCCCAATAAAAACCCTGCTGATTTGAAGCTCGGTGCTCTCGGTCCTTATCCGCTGGCATCGGTGATGGTTGTGAGCCCCTGCTCAATCTTGAATAAATCAACCCTCGTATGTTTGCATTGGAATTGTCTCCTTGGTGGTCTTTTGGGGTCTCCAGGATCTGAGTACAACACAAGGAGAGAGAGACAAAAAGAACAGCCACATGCCCACTCCAAGGACCCAGATCCTTGGAAAGGCACTGATCAAGAAGAAACTTGCCAGAAATCGACTGGGTCAAGAGTCCAAAACATCTCTTTCTGTGCCTCACTTATGCTTGTGAGATAAAACACAGTGATGCTGGCTGGAGTGGGAAGACTAAGGAGACCATCCTTAGAGTAAAATCACTCTAGGCCTACGTGGGACCATGCCATCTTCCCTCTCCTTCCTGGGCCAATTTTCTAAAGAAAAATGTATACCTCCACCAGCTCATCAGAATTATTATCAGTTATTAGGATATGAGCCTGGGGCCCAGCACCCCTAACCACCTAGGCCAAACCCCTTTCAGAATGGGCCAATTAATAGACAAGACATAGTGAAAATCGGAGAAAAGAAAATTGTTCATTTGGTGAGGGCCACATTGAGGTGGGAAAGAAAGAAATGCACTGACGCCTGTGTTCAGGGTTCTCACATGGAATTTAGGTTTAAACAAAGGGCTCGCATAGCTAAGCAAGGTGTGGTCTTGCTTGTAATTAACCCATCACTGTCTCAGCTCCAGTCTCTCCTGCAAGGTGGTCTGACAAGTTCTCAGAACTCTTGGAGGTCTCTGGAAGACAAACTCCTTCTGGATGGCACCAGTCTTCAACCATTCCGTTCTCCAGCATGAAACTCATGGAGGAATTTCAATTCCTTGAGGACCTTAACTCGTTAGTCTGACAGCTGAGTGGAAAGGCACACATCTCAAAATATCTTTATTCCTGTCGGAATGTTACAAGTTACAGAG